AACCTTTAAGTTTGTTTTCTTTCTGAAATTTGTATATGATTTGTATGCATGTCTTCCCAAAAGATTGGCCTTTCTATAGTAAACTTTTCGCTAAATGCTAATTAAATATAATATAAGTTATAAAACTTTTGAGTGTTAAATCACAATTAAGAAAACTTTTGTGTTGCATTAGTTAAAAAATGGGGTTTCAAATGAATGTGGTTTGAAGAAGTTAAAAAAGGAGGTTTCAAACAAAAATGGTTTGAGGAAAAATGCTTCTATTATAAGATATATAGATAGATATAGATAGATAGATTATTTTAAATTAAAATTTTTCCACATGTCATTTTATGGTTTTTTTTTTCTTTATTTTATTAAATTCTATATAGTATTTAAATATAATAATTGTAACAAATACAATGATAAATGTATATTAATTTTATTAATGCAACTTTCCTTCTAATTTAAAATTTGTAAATTAAAATCCAATTATTTTTTTGTTATTTATTTAAAATATATATATTTAAATCTAAAAAGAAATAAACACTTCAATTTCAATAATTTAATATTTTACTCATTTCTTTATAAGTTCAAACCCCCAAATGTTTAGACATTTATTTTTAACTAGTTTATAACCCGTGAGAACCACGGTTACAAAATTAATTAAACTTTCATAGAAAAAACTCAATTTTATTAATTAATTATTTTAAATAAATTATTAATTAAGAGATATTTTTTTTAATTATATAAAATTATAATTGTTGATTTAAATAAATACGCAAAATTATATCACTTTACAATTTGTATTAATTTTATTTAATTTTTTATTTTAATGTTATTAATTTAATATAATTATAATAGGAAATTTAAAATGAAGAATGAATAGGTTAAATGACATGACATTAGAAAGCCTAAAATGATAACTATAACAAAAGAAGAATTAATCTAATTCTTTTATTAAAATAAAGATTTTCTCTTTTGAATAAACTTATATAGAACACAGATTTTAGATCTAGTCGTAAATAATACTAAAGTAAATGGTCAATCCGAGGATTGCGATATTTGGGAAATTCCTTTTTCGAAAAACTTTTAGAAAAAACATTAAATCTTTTAAGACTTAAAAAAAAAAAACTTTGTAAAAAATTTCGAAAACAAAGGATTCAATAGCCCGATCCGACCCGCCAGACCCGTGTACTTTTAACCTAATAAGTCTCTTGATGCATCTTTCAGTCTGCTTTCGTCTTTGTGTAAGGTGGAAATGGAGGCAGAGGGAGATGTAACCAGAGAAAAAACAAGGATATACGTCGGTGGATTGGGTGGTGGTGTGTCGGAGGACGATCTCCGGAAAACTTTCTCGTCATTGGGTGAAGTAGCCTCTGTCGATATTGTTCGCACCAAAGGCCGCAGCTTTGCTTACCTCGATTTCCTTCCTTCTTCCGATAAATCTCTTCCAAAGCTCTTTAGCACGGTTTGTCTTTCTCCATCTCTCTGTTTATTTACAATTTTTTCACATATCTAATTTGTTATCATTCCCTCCTTCAATCGCTTCCTTTCGTGTTTGGATGCCAATCATGATAATTTTCAACTATAAATCGATTTAGGTTTATAGTTTTCCTATTAGAAAATTCTAAACCTGTTGAATTCGAAAAGCTGCTTCGAATAGAAACGAATGCTATAGAACAACATTCTTACCAAGTTGTCAATCGAGATGCACTTCAGATAAAGTGCATTCTCATTGTTATGCTTACTACTCCTTTTGTTATATATTTTGTTAATTTGTTCTTTTAACAGTATAATGGATGCATGTGGAAAGGAGGGAAACTGAGGCTTGAGAAAGCTAAAGAACATTATCTTCTTAAATTGAAGCGTGAATGGCAACAAGACTCTGAAAACACAAACAAATCTAATTCTGATGCTTCCAAAACTCATGATGCTTTAGAAAACCCAAAAAAACCTTCTGCAGAAATCAACAAACAGCTTTGTTTATTCTTTCCCAAATTAGGAAAGGTAAATAAATCTCTATCTATCAATCTGTACACTCATCTCAAAAGACGTAAATACCCTCGTCATCTTCATCTTGATTTTTTTTAGGTTAAATCATTGGGTCAAGTTGGAATTGGGAAACACAAATACAGCTTTCAACGTATTCAAGTTCCACCAATCCCAACACATTTCTGTGATTGTGAGGAGCATTCAATTGCTTTTCTTCCAACTAAAAAAAACCAAATTTCTGAAATTGAGAATGTAAGTGATGGAATTAATGAGCAAGAACTCAATATTATGAACTCTGTGATGAACAAGATCTTTGAAAGGGCAAATCCGTCAAAACCAGTCAATGAAGGAGCTTCCATGAACTCCATTGAAAATAGCGAAGAAGATCATCTCACAGATGAAGATAATCTGATAATCAATGTGGGGACAGGAAATGATGACGTGGATTTGTTAGCAGAAATGAGAATGATAGCAAATAAGGTATCAAGCAATTTTGTGAATCTGTTGTTGTCTCATGTCTGTGCAAAAGACGTAAATGCCCTTCTCATTCTCATTAGCGAGAATAACCCTGGAAAGTTTGTCTGGTCCAAAAATGGTAAAACAAGGTGGGAGGACTCAATTTTTATCTATTGTTTGTGTAAAGGACGGAAATACCTCCTCACCCTTAACATGATAAGTGCCTGAAAAAGTTGAATTTTGCCAACAAACATTTTTTGTTAAAAAAAAATATTATTTTTGTGGTGGTGTCAAACCCAAAAAACTCGAGATTAAACCTTAAGCATAAGGTTTAATTTGAATCTATTGTTATAATCAATCATTCTTATTTGATGATGTCATAAGTAACACGTTGCAAAAAAGAAAAGAAATTACAAATGAAAACTTATTTTATAACTTTGCAAACAATTATTCACCATAAGGAATCAATATCGATACGTATATGGGTTAATACAACTTTTAATAAATCTTTTATAATCATCTTACGTTAAAAGAACTGACAAGAAATTAAAAAACGAATTATCAAAATATATATGAAGTGAAAGTTCAATTTAACGTTCTGTTGAAGGGTTTAATATCAATTTTTTATTTTTATTTTTATTTTTTATAGGATGCAGTAGTAGCTAAAAAGCATGGAGGGCAGGAAAAGAAGGCCATGCCACCTATTAAAAAAAGAAAATCACCTCCCTCGAAAGAGAAACCCGTGATTCCGGAATCTTCTAGAAGTTTCCGGACCCGTTTGGATACACGAAAAACCAGAAAAATAGAAGTAGAATCAAACACAAAGCAACCGGAACCCAATTCTTTACGCTCACTCAAGTCCACATGGAAAGATCTGATTGGTCGAAAACGCAACACACCATTCACCATTCCCAACATCATCCCAACCGTTGATCAACAAAAAGATGAATCCAACGGTGATGATCATCCCGGGATCGATCTCGAAATGAAAACAAACAAAACAAGTGATTCTGATCATAAAGAAGGTTCACCGGAAAAAGACGCCGGAGATACAATTCCGGCGGCGGCTAAAGGCGGTTTGTGGCGGCAGAAGTCATCATGGACACAATTGGTTAGCACCGCGAACCATGACTCATTTAGCATTTCACAGATTGTGCCCGGTCCAAGTTTCGAAAACCATGAACCGAGCCCAACTCGGGTGGTTACTGAGTCAACCGGGAGGAAGGAAATGAGTTCAGAACGAAAGAGAAGTTTGATTATTGGGAACTTAGAATTGAAAGAAAGTTGCTCGTTTATGAGGACAGAAACGTCAATGAACGAGTGGAAGAGAGCAAAAACATCAAAAAAGTCAAATGAGGGAGTTATTTGACTTATTATAGTTCGAGTATTGATCATTTTTTGTGTTATTTTGTATCTTATTTGGTTATATGTGATAGTTACAATTTACATGAAACTCGTTGGGACTAAGTAGCCCAAAAATTTTCTTATTTCTTAAAAAAGTATTTACCAATTTTGCAATAACCCACTATAAAATTTAGTGTTTGCTGTAATCAAAATCTTCTTTCGGTCTATATAAGTTGCCCAACATAAGTTGAACCAATAACCAATGAAACTCATTCAATATCGTTTTTTTTTTCAACAGGTATTTAGGGTCTATATATATATATGCATGAAACTGGAAAACATGTTTATTGAACTTAGTAATTAGACTAATTAGTGACATTAAATCTATCATGATCATTTGACCATTATAACTTAGGTGCTGTTTGTTTTTTTATAAAAACCTCTTCAAACCATTTATTACTGCGCGACGTAGCACACGCGCAGCACTTTCCCTTTCGCAGCAGTTTGTTTTTTGGAAGGCTTCAGACTACAAAACCTCTGCGTGTGTGCTGCGTGGCGCAGCACTTGAATTGCCTCTTCTAACCTCTTCAGCTTTCATTTTTTCCAAGTGTTTTTTAAGAATTTTTGTATAACTTATTTTTTTTAACTTTTTTTTGAACTTTGATTTTCTTAAATTTTTATTTACGGATGTGATACAATTTATTTTTATAGTTTCCATGATTTTTTTTAACTTGATTTTTTTAATTTTTTTACCGTTTCTATTAATAATATTTTCAATTTTAGTTGCATCTTTTTTAATGTGTGTAATTTTTTATGAACTTTGTAGACATCGTTTGCAAAACTTTTTTAATTTTTTTATTATTTTCGTTTTTAATGTTTTTTAAATTAGTTTTTTTTCTAGAATAAAACTATTAGCTTCTTTTACATTTTTTTAAGTTTTTTTTTTAAAAAAAAGTTTTATATTTTTGTTTTTTTACATGTTCTTTTTATTATTATTTCAATGTTTTAAGACTAAAATTATTAAATTTCGGTGTTGAGAACTATTTTCAGTTATAAAATTAGTTTATTTAAATTTCAGTTTACTGCAGTAGTCTGCAGATGTTAAAAAACAAACATGCTTCTTATTATAGGCTGCAGCCGTTTGTTCCACCTCTTCTGCTACAGAGGATTGCAGAGGTGGTCCGCAGACTTTATGAATTTTCGCTTCGAAAAAACAAACAGCACCTTAGTAATTAGACTAATGAAACATGAATTTTAACTTATCTTGTGAATGTTTCACCTAAGACAAACAAATACAACTTCATTACAAAGGACGCACCCATGATTTTCTTTTTCTTTGAGTAGAGTAAGTAAATATATCATAACATTAACTGGAAGATGGAACAAACACCTGTATAAATATATATTGAAGCCCCTCAATTATCCGAGATAATCATGCACACATTAGTTTGCTGGAGCAATACTTCTCAAAGTTGATTAAGCTGCCAAATAGAAGGGAAAATAAGGAAATGGCAAATTGCCTGATGCTTTAACGACTGAAAGAAAGATTGTGGCAAGAGGCAAAAAGGAATATGATGAGAGTGAGCAGAGACGACTGTGAGGAAGAAGGTGAATCATAAAACCAACGATCCTATGTAGATTTCCTGCATTTTAAAAGTTAATGGCAAATGGTCCATTTTTTCAATTTTAATGATTTTAAATATATGGAAAGATTAATAAATATTAAAAAAAAAAAATAGATTTGGGCAAATGAGATATTTTAAAAGATCAAGAAGGGCAAATTTGATAATTAAAGTTTAGGTTGGTCAAATACGATATTTAGATTTGGACAAATATGATATTTTGAAGTGGACATTTCAAATTGGTGGTTATTTTATGGTATAAGAATTTTTTGGGTTATTTTGTAGCAAATCTTAAGTTAAAATGGCTTTGTATTTCAGTGGCGTTATAAGTGGAGTAATTTTTTTTTGAAGGTATGGTACTCTAATAGGAAGAAATTTGCGTTATACTCGTGTGGTGGTTGGGTTGACTGATGTAAAAACTATAGACTGAGCTTACTTTCTTTTATAGCATCCTATTTTCGTTTGTTCCCATTATAGCACTGTACCACGACAAATTTACCTAATTATAACTACATCATTCTTATAAATTTGTTTAGTTTTTTTAGACAATTTACATTCGTTGATTTGTTTATATCATAGTAGTAGCTGGTAATTAGGATATGACTATGCTTCTATGTATATTTTAAAGGTATGATGCTTATGGTAAAAGCATGTTTTTCCTCACAAAATATATACACTAAATTTTATGACAACTTATATAAAATGCTAAAAATGATGGTTTTGTTATACATCATCGCCGTCACCGGCGTCTCCCCGATGTCAACAACCATCAACAACGTCTCCCCCAATCCAACAGGTGCCACTGGACAATTCGCCTTCTTCTTCTTAGGTATGAAAAGTTTTCTCTAAAATTGGTTCTTTTCTAGGGTTAGAAATAGACTGCTTATTGCTTAATTCCACCGCAATAAGCAAATTTAAGTGTTTGGATAGGAGTCTTTAAAAATCAGCTTATTGCGGTAGGAATAAGCTAAATAAGCTGATTTTAATAAGCAAATGGGGAATGCTTATTGCTTATTGATCATTTTATTCATATAAGCTGTTTTATTTGCCAAACACTTCAAATGCTTATTGCTTATTGCTTATTCCCACCACAATAAGCTAATCCAAATACATTTTAAAAAAATGTTTATTCCCACCACAATAAGCAAATAATCAATAAGCTAATAAGCTAAAAACTATTTATCCAAACACCCCTTAGTTTTTTTTTCTTTTCTTGTGAAATTGGTTCTTTGAAATTAGTTTTTTCTAGAGTTCTATAAAATTTGTTATTTCCTGACTTCGTGCGTTCCCCAAAACCTGTAAAAATTACAGATATAATTCATAATTCAGGTTCACAAGGAGGTTAGGATTAAAATGAGGGTTTCTTTGGGGTTTGTCGTGTTATTTTTGCAGGAGGTGGAACAAAATGGACAAATTGGTGGCAATGTGTGACCTGGAAGTGAAAGGGGGAAGCGAGAGAGATAGAGTTTTCATGGTGATAGAATGGTGATTGTTGGTGGGTACATAAGTGAAGGAGAGATGAAGGCAACTAGAGTTTACCGATGGTAATGGCGTTTGTGAAAAAAAAAAAAGTAAAGATGTTTGATATGATATTTTTTTTTTTGCAAAATTAATATGTGGTCACAATCATTTAAAAAAGGGGACATGTTCGTTAATTGATTCAAGCTAATTGCATCCATTTGTAGTATTCAAACAATAAATATGCAAAAACATGAAAGATTCATAATATAGAAAAATATGTATCACTACTATTTCAGGTGGTACATTAGGAGATGGAAATGACATGATGAATAGAACGGATTTTCTATGAAAGGCAGACCTAGCAAAATATGACACGATACGAAAACCCGATACGAACCCGCCACAAAATTAGCGGGTTAGGGTCAGAGATTTCGACACGTTTATGTAAACGGGTTGACACGACACGACACGATAATTAAACGGGTAGGGTTAGGGTCAAAACTTTCAACTCGAAGATGACTCGAATATGACTCGTTTAATTATATATTAATTATTAGGTGTGAGACCCATGTATTACATGAGTTCATTTAAAAGAAAATTTAAATATAAAATTCAAAAATATTTGAGAAGTTTGAATTTATAAGAAAAGTAAGAAAAATATTGAATTATAAAAATTAAAGTGTTTTTTTTTTCTCTTTTCAATTTAAACAAATAATTTAGATAAATAAATAAAAGAAATTTATGAAAATTTAATTTAGTAATTTTAAAACTAGAAGGAAAGTCCATTAATGAAATTGATATGCATTTATGATTAGATTTAAATAATATATGGAATTTAATAAAATAAAAAAAACCATAAAATGACATGTGGAATAAAAATTAATTTAAAATAACTATAAAATTACATGTGACAAAATAAATAAGAATATAACATGTGGCAAAAAAATATTTATTTATTAGAGTAGATTATAAGTTTCATATTTTTATAAATATATTATATGTTATAGACTTGTAGTGGGCCAAACTCAATAATTATAAGTAATATTCAAAATTTCAAGGTTACTTAATTTTAATCATCCTCACCACCTATCCCTTTTGCTCCCCAACTTTAACTCTTTTCATTTTTCCTTCTAAACTTACTATAAATTTTGTCATTTCATCTCGTAACTTCAATGTTTCACTTTTTCCTTCTTGACTCCACAACTTCTACCTTCCAACCTTTAAAATATTTCAACCCGACATGACACAACATATTTACAAGGTCTAAACCTTAACCCGAAACCCGACACGAAAATAAACATGTTGACACGACACGACACGATAATTAAACGGGTCGGGTTAGGGTCAAGCCGTTTCAACCCGTTAAATGTCATGACACGACACAAACCCGACACTACACGACACGTTTGCCAAGTCTAATGAAAGGCTTTGAGAATCAAAAAGAGACATTTCATACACGATGAAATAAAGTCCATGATAACTTTTCTTTAGTTGATCTTTTTACAAATTTTTTATGATTGTATACCTACTTCGAAACAATATTAATGTAAAGATACACTTATGTTATTATATTATCAATTTGTTGCTTATGTTTTTGTGATTGACATCGAAATGCTGTTTGAAAGTTTCTTTTTAATGGAGCTCTTGTAAGTAAATTGGAAAATTTTGTTTATTAATATGTTTCTCAAAATTCTTTTTAGTTTTAAAAACATCAGTTATCTTTTAGCAGCTTGTAGACTTTAGAAAAAAAAAACAGTTTTCTTCTTACAGACTGCAGACATTTGGTCCACCTCTTTTTTCTGTAGAGGTCTGCAGATGTGGTCCGTAGACTGCATACCGTTTTGCCTATGAAAAAACAAACAACACCTAAGTTTCATTTGATCTTAGGTTATTTTGTTTTAAGGTTATTAGAAGAGGTGAAGTGCATGGCTAACAAAAACCCTAATGCTATTTATTTGAAAGTTCGTTTGAACTTTAATGGTGTTTTTATAAGACACCCATGCTATGCTCTTATGCTCGATTTGATACTTTCAT